AAAAATCTTTTAGATCATAGAGAAATAGGTTTGGAGCTGTTGCAGGAGGTGATATGCTTCATACTAGGTGAAACGGTTGACGAAGTGTTTGTGATTTTAGTGTCGTCAAGTCATTTAGTATGATCGGGATTAATGTGAGACAAGCCGAAATTAGACTTAGATATAATTCGAGTCTGGATGTGCGGAGTACACGCTCGGATAAGTTAACTTGATCTCGGGAATGTGGGGGTCCAGGGGCAGCGCCCCTTGTGGGGTTCCAAGGGGCAGCGTCCTTGGTGGCGTACATAAACAAGCAAGGAATTTTGTGTTCATGATCTTGGATTTTGACTGAAATCCAGATCGTTGTTTTGGGATTATCCCAAATCTGATTTCGTGATACCCCTAGGCAATAGGGTCGAAATCACATATTTTGGAAAGTGTTTTATGCACGATCCTTGAATTATCTAAGTATTTTTGATATTCTGTTTCCAAAATCTAACACGCATGACGAGGATGTATTATGGGCTTACTGGAGACGAGAAAGAGGAGGGAACATGTCATTTTATACACGAGAGCTGAATGACCCTGTTAAGCAGTACAATTTTTTTTTGATTAACCTGGATATCCAACCCGCTATGCGAGCCGACTAATCCCAGGCGACCACCTGCTTTGCAGATAGCCCGGAATCACCGCACTTGAACCTCCGTGGCCACAAGGGGATTTTTATTCATCATTGGATTTGAACCTCGGAACTCCTGGTACTTTTGACCTTTGGAGTCAATCTCAAACCAATTAGACACCACCCTTGTGGTTCAAAATTTTTATATGTAACTTAATTAAACGTTGCATTTGTTTAAAAAGATGGCGATGATGACTCTAACTTGAGGAGATAATCATTCCATATCTCAAAATACGGAAAGAAGTTGTACTTTTTTATGTCACGGTCAACAAATCTTCTACCGAAAAACCATTACAACTTCAAAAGTTTGATAAGATAAAAAAAAGTCATTATTTTCAAAGAAATTGTAACGTTTGACATGATACGTATCTCGATTACAAAGTTTAATACATGTTTTTTAAGTATAATCCTTGTATTTTTATTGATACATCTTCTCGTTCATCTCTGACTCCAGTGTCCCCATGTCGATACACGTGTTGTACAACTCAAAGAAATCCATAAAAGCTACAGGTAATAGAGTACTCTATTGGGATGTAATCTAGTTGACTCTGCGCTACCTGCAAAACATATTGTTATCTTGGGATTAGTTGGCTCACGTAGCGAGTTGGATATCCAGATTAATAAATAAATATATATATATATATATATATATATTATAATATATATAATAGCTTATATATATAATATCTTATATAAATGTACATATTTTAGCCACTTAAAGAAAATAATAAAAATTGACCAAAATACCCCTCATCTAATTAAAAAAAACTAATGTCTATTAGTGGAAGGGGCGAAATTCGCTTAGATATGCAAACGTCTAAGACAGGAAACTGAGTAAGTGAAATGGAGGAACATGAACCGTTAAAAGGACAGAATCAGAATTACGAACTTAACATCAAAAACTCAGATTTTGCCTTCACATTTCTCAATTCCCAGCGATTTTGGTCCCTCTGTCTAATGGTCGTTAACTTTTTTCGTTAAATCCAGTTAAAGTCAAAAAAACATATTATATTTTTAATTTTAAAATAAAATTAAGAAAATCATGAAAATACTCTTCATTTTACTGGAATTAACAGAAAAAGTTAAAGGCCATTAGGCAGAATAACCAAACCCGTTTGGAATCGAAAACTGTGAGGAACCAATTTTGAGTTTTTGAAGTTTAAGGATGATGTATGTTGAAAATTGTAAATGTTAGGAATCAAACTGAAACTTTACTCGTAAAACTAGGGGTGTGCAGAAAGTCATCTGATTCAGTTTAAACTGACAAATCCAATTTAAAAACGACTGGCCATAATCGAATATCCAATTGTGACTGGATTGGATCAGATCCAAAATTTCAACATCCAAATTGGGTCGGTCGGTTTTTGGATGACAGTCCATCATTCAATAGAACCAAACCGATTGACTCCGGTGACCATCCAGTTCCCATCTAATGACTATCTGATTATCATCCACTTAGTAACTAGGCTAAAAATCGTGTGAGAATGGAAGTTCAGATGATAAGCATGATAAGATGGTGAATTTCGCTTGATCACATTTAATCTCAAACTCACCCATGAATTCCGCTTGATCCATGGATTGATCCAGTGCATCTGGGTGCATCTCATCCTAATGTGGACAGGGATGGCAACGGGGCGGGGATGGGGCGGGGTTTGCAATCCCCGGCCCCGGCCCCGGTTTATATATAGAGTCCCCGGCCCCGGCCCCGGTCAACTTTCGGTCAACCCCGGTCAACCCCCGGTCAACACCCAAAGCCCAAATCCAAAAGGCCCAAACACAAAAGGCTCAAACACAAATAAGTAGTAAGAGTCCATTTACCTAAAGCCCAAATAACTATTTTATTATTTATTAATATACCGGGTACGGGGCGGGTCGGGGGATACAATACCTGGCCCCGGCCCCAACCCCGGTTTGCCTCTACCGGGGATCCCCGGCCCCGGCCCCGGTACCCGTTTTAGCGGGGATTCCCCGTCCCCGTCCAGGTCGGGTGAACCGGGTTCCCCACCGGGTCGGGCCAAATCACCATCCCTAAATGTGGATCCAATGGTGAATTATATAAAATAACATTTTACAGCCAGAACCCAACCCTTAATAATTATATATAATAACATTTTACAATATTGCTTTTTAGTTGATATTTATATGCATTATTTTTTTAAGACTTAATAAAATATATGAATAATTGATTGAAATGACACATTAATTGGTTAAAAATTGAATCAAAATATCAGATGAATCCAATCCGGTCCGATGGATAGCCGAGAGTAAAATCCAACGGGTGGAACCGGTCAGATCCAATCATTGGATTGGATTGAATGACAAATTCCAACATCCAATAGATGATCGAATCTACCTAAATTCATTGGGTTTCAACCGATAACATGTATTAGAATGCTTTTTTTATAAAATGGCTCTCAGAATTCAGATCCTTGTGTGTAAAATGAGAGCCCAGTTAAATCATGGGCCTATATGAATACGTGGAGTTTAAAGTTAGGCCCATTAATTATACGTGGCATTCCCTGTAGTTGTAAATGGATCTAACCGGGTCGGGTGGAATCCATGATGGTTTGAGGGGAAGACGAGAATGTCGTCTTCTTCACACACTTCGAGATCAATTTACGCATTTTACAACTACAAGTCTCGGAATTCGGATTTCGTTGAATTTTTGTATGATTTTGATGAATCTAGCGAACACAGTATAACATTATTGTGGAAGAAAGCGAATCGAAGATGATGTGAGGATCGGCAGCTATTATCTACGAAGGTTCTTTCTGAATCTAATGGTTCTCGTCTTTTGAGCTCAATCTTCAATCTACATTATCTCATTATTCCCTTTGATCGTTACCTGGTTTTCATATTACATTTTGTTAATTGTTTTTTTGTTGAGTTCAAATCGGGTTTTTTTTACTGAACGATCAGATGCTTCTCGTTTTTGGTTGATTATGAAAGTTTGTCAGTCTAGATTCAGTTCATCGGTTCATGGATTAGAATACAACTCTAGAACAAAATTCATCAATGCATAGTTGACATTAGGTCGTTTGATATGCAAACAAGGAATGATTGCGTTGGATAATATTTCATACATTTACTAAAATTTCCAGTGAGAATTTTATACTCCATCTCCTACTTTTTCCGTTTTGGAGAATATCTTGTACCAAAAAACGTGCCTAAAATCTCCATATGGGAAAATCTACTGGAAATGCTCCAATTTACCAGATATCTCATGCACAAAAATGCATTTTTGTTTCAATTATGTCATAGCTGCCAAAAAAAACTTGATGCCTGTTTTTCTTTAAACATGATGGTTTGCTATCATACCTGCTGCACCGATATCTTTACCCCATATTTGGACCTGTCAATAGGTAATATCTGAAAAAAGCGAGTTCTTCCAAACATGAAGAAAATACTGGGTATTAAATGCTTAACAGTTCAATCAAGAAAATCTTTATGTTATATGATATTTCACAGTAATAGATTCTTGTAAAAATAGTAAATAATGACTTCAAGAATGGCCACCATAAAGCAAATTAAAGATGTACAAGGTCTGTTTTTTTGGGGCTTCGGTTTGGATCTTCCCAGGGTTTTTAGTGAGTAAAAAAGAGGCTTGAGTGTTTTTTAGATCTAGATCTAGCCGAATTTTGGGGTTAAAAAGGGTTAGATCAGGTTTTTTCGGACTTAACCAGACTTTTTCACACTTGTTCAAGTCAAAAAGATTTGGGCCACCTATGGACGTTTTATGCCCAATTACTCCAGTGATTGCATCCCTGTATTACCGTGACTGTTGGCACAAAATTAGCTGATGTTTATTCTTCAAATACCGTCATTGCTTCTTCTCTTGAAAAAGAACGTTGCCCTAAAGTTCCGGTTTGAGAGAGCTATGAGGCCTGGTGTAGAAAGGCTTCGGGCTCATTAGACCTGAACTTTTTCATGTCTGGACCTACATGCTGAGGGGTCATTTACCAAATACTTACCCGATAAGTGCTTACCGGTAAAATTCAACATTACTACTTACTTATCGAGTAAGATTTTAGTCCACTAAAACAACACCGTATGCAATAATTTATCCGATAAGCTCATACCATGGTAAGAGTCGTCGTTTTCACTTACCGGGTAAGACTTTTGTTCCTTGTCTCGTTCTTACCGGGTAAAATTATTGGTCCTTGTCATATTCATCCGATAAGGTAATGTGACTTGATAAACGCTTATTCGGGTAAACGTTTACCAAACCCCTAAACCTGGGTCAAGATTCAGGCGTTTTTATACATCCCTTAAGCGAAGGGGGTCAAAGTGAAACATTGGAAGCATATCTACAACAAAATCCTCTCATTTTCATTTATCTTGTTTCCGATCTCTATTCTCTTCTCATATTCAACAAGATTTCAGCATTCGTCATCACTGAATCTGCAACAAAAGATTTTTCAATCCATTCAATCATGGCCACACCAGATGTTTTGCAGGCTGATCAAGATCTCTTCTCATCATTGTCTCTATTTGATCATCCCAAAGGTGCTGTTTCTGCCCTAATTTATCCCCATTTAATAATCTCGACTTCGAATCAAAATTTACTCGATTATGAACTCAAAAATTTCTGAATGTTTGCAGGCGATGCGAAATCGAGAGGATTGGCTATCGAGAAAAAGATCGAATACTTGGAGAGCTTGAATGGCAGAGTAATTTCTACTTACCATCTTCATTCTCAAAACTTCTAAATCGTCAATCACATTTTGTCGATTATTGAAGAAATTACACCATGCTTATGATTTTATTCGTGTATTGAGTGAGACATCCTTGAATGTAAACTTCTTTTAGTTTGGGATTCGGTTCTAGAATGTGTTCATCGATATTCAGTTAAACATTGTGGTCATGGAGGTTCAATGCGGTGATGCGGGGCTATCCGCAAAGAAGGTGGTCGCCCTAGGATTAGTCTGCTCGCATAGCGAGTTTGATATCCAAGTTAATAGAAAAAATGGTTCCGAGTTTGATATACAAGTTGATCTCATTAACAACATATTGGCATTTAATATCTAACAATCTTGAGCTAATTTAATGTTGTTTTTCTGTCTATATTTATCTGATATTTTTTTACTGAGTACGTTGGACAATTTATGGTTTCAACTATCTTTAGATCCAATTAAGATGTCTGTAAGGATTCATGTGTTTTCATCCTATTATGTTCGGGGTGTGTGTATATACATACATATATATATATGTGTATATATAGAATCAGGTTCATGTGAGAACCACAAAAAAGTGGGAACCGGATAACTTGTATATTCATTGATGCATATATATTTCAAAATATGTATTCTGTCAAGGAATATACTCTTCAATACACATCTACTATGTACGCAAGTATATATGCATTCATGCATATACTGACTAACATTCATTAGTGTATATGCATCAATGAGTGTACATGTTCTCCAGTTCTTGAATTCTTTAAGGTTCTCACATGAACCTCCCCCTATAGGGTCAGTTTCAGGGAAAAACCACAAAAAAAAAATGAAAAACCGAAGAATATCCTGGTAAACATTCATTTGGAAGTAATTTGTAAGCAATTTGTCTGGTATGTACATGTGCATAAAAACCAAGAAACAACTTCAATTACTTGCATGCACATGTGCATATCATTAAGATGAATAGTTACCAGGGTGTTCCTCAGTTTTTCATTTTTTGGGGGTTTCGCTCCCACATTGCCTAGACTTGGACCATATCTCCTTAATATATGTTGGAACCTCTCTTACCCTCTAAAGGACTCTTTTGGATAATAAAGTAGCGAGATTCCACATATTTTCACTTGATATCAAAGCAAAGGCTTACTACTCTAGGGACTCAATGCTCTAGGACAATTTGTGCCCATCTAGCTTCGTTTGGAGAGGGGCGTTTTGGAGTATCACATTGGTTAGACTTGGACCATTTCTCCTCAATATATACTGGAACCTCCCTTTCTCTCATCAAAGGCTCATTTGATAGTAACTTGACAGGGTTCAACATATTCTCACGCATAGACTTTTTCTTGGGTGTTTAAATATGATGTAGCAATCAATTTAATGGGGGCTATAGAGCTTGAGGACCAATTTTGTTGTCTCATGGAACATTTAGATCATTTTCTTTGAGACAGTTATATGCATATAATCTTCTATATGATCTGATCCGAGACTCCGAGTTAGGGCATGTTTGTTAGCAGCTTAACAAGCTTAATGGGAATCACAACTTATTCGCTCAACTATTCATGATAGTTTGGTAGTGGCTTAATGATATAGAAAGTGGCTTATTCAATAAGCTTTTAAACGGGAGCTTTATGCAGAAAGCCAAATTTCTTTGCGAACCTGCTCCTTCCAATTAAAAAAAGCTCCTTCCATCTATGGACAAACCTTCCAAACAAAAACATTTCCAATCTATACAGACTGATTAATCCACACAAACAACTTTATATATTCTGGACTTAGTGGAAAACCAACCAAACAACCCCTTAGCCCATCAACCTATCACAAGAACATTAAAAAATTGTGCAGCTAATGCTCAATATGTTTCCAGGTAAGCAACAGGCGAGCACGCAGATGGATAAACGATCGTATATTGTTGGAGCTTGTACCTCGTTTGAGTGGAGACGAGATTAGAGGCTTGTTTGCTCCACCACCTTGGGGTACGTCAATATTATTCGTCTCACAGTTGCACGTGTCTTCTCTTCTTCTCGTATATAGTTTAGTCGCTCTTATTTTGTTGGCCAAGTGGTAAGATTGAAATATATGCAATGCGCTTTTTATTCACTATATTTGGCGACAAAATTGTTGTATTATTGATTTGAGGTTCATTTTAACAGGTGATGATGTACCACTGTCACCATTTTGCATGACAAATGTGGGGGAGTGGGACAAATTTCGGAATATAGACATGGATAAAGAGGTTTTACTCATCTTGATTACAAATCCCGCTTCTCCCTTATTATGCTTTTGTGAAGTAATTAAGCTCGATTCATTTTGGTCGTTTAATAGTTTCGTTTTCTTGGTCCCATTTGTACGGTGAGAAGAGACCAAGCGGTCCATTTGCCCGATGTGAGGTAAATGAGCTTAAAGGAAATCTCAAATCATACCAATTAGGATGCTATCTTAGGGCCTGTTTGAAAGTAGCTTAATGAGGTTAATAGACTCGCAATTTATTTGGTCAGCTATACATGACTATTTGGTAGTGACTTAATTATATAAAAGTGGCTTATTCAGTAAGCTTCCTGGGGGAGCTTTATACAGAAAGCAAGTTTTTTCCAAACCTTCCCCTCCCAGTTAAAAAACACGCTCCTTCCATTTATGAAAAAATCTTCTCATTCTATACAAACAAATTAATCTATACATACAACTTTTTCCATATAGGATTTAGTCTATACTTTAAGCAGCGTTTCAATAAGTTTCAAGGGCTTTTTTTCAATTTTATTCAATTATGCCCCTTTTTCAAACATGCACTTTTAGGTCGTTTTACATTGTGTTTTAGCTTATCAGCTAGTCTTTACCAAACATGACTAGTTTATCTGTTAGCTTATCAGCCAACTGTTAGCTTATTAGCTAGTTTGCCAAACATAGCCTTTGTGCAATTTTATTGTGTGTGAGAGACAGCAATTGTAACATGTAACGTTCCATGTGAACTGTACCAGATATTGTCCCATTTGTCCACAACTGAACTCACGGTTTTAAAACGCGTTTGATATAAGTCCCTTATAAGGCAACATTCGTTCCCTTCCGCAACCGATGTAGGATCTTATAGCGGTGCACCTGCTAGTTCCTTCCTCTCTATGAATGGAGATGTTTTCTTTTCCCCGATTGTAATGCTTCTCCATATTCCATATCATGTCTCGGGATGCTTCAAATTTAGTAAATTTCGTTCTAAATTTCTGGTAGGCTGGTGCTATCAAGGCACTTAAAGGTTCGTCATCAAAGAAGAAAAACCGTAGGGATCCTGATAAGGTAGCCGTGTTGACTGCATGGCACAGGGTAGATTGTCGAACTAGAGAAGCATTTCGCCGAAGCGCTCTGCCAGAACTCGTTAACGGTTATGAAGTAATTTTCATCTTCACCTTCACATTCACCCTGTTGTTTGAATTTCATATCCTTTCATGAAATGTTTTGCTTCTGAAAATATCAAGGCTCGACGCAACAGCCACCATGGTGCGCCGTGGGTTAAGGCTCATGTCTCACACCACGTTAAGCTTATGGATACAAGACCCGAGCAGAACATATATATATATATGTGTGTGTGTGTGTGTGTGTGTGAAATATATGTGTATAGTATTTATATTATTATGTTATTTATTTATTAACCTAAAGTTAAAAGAGTAAAAGTATTTTACGTTCTGATTTAGGTTTACCGTGCTTAAATTATTTTTATTTAGTTGTGTACTTGGTTTGAATGTTCTATTTTAGTATTATTTTTATATTGCAAATGATATTTTTTATAAATTCTGGTAACCGTGAACTGAACCACGAATAACTGCCTTATGTCGGTGCGGTTTGCTTCAACCTACGATTCGGGTACCCATATATCCACCTCATGCGGTTTGGTTAACATTTTCCTCATTAACCGAACCATTAACACCCCAATCTGGAGTAGAGATCAGGTCAGCACACATCCTACTGTCCCCATACACCTCCTCGGTGTGGGATATACCGGGTTCGTCTGGTTTTACATAAACACTGTCGATTTTCGTTTCTTGCAGCTTGGCGATTCATTTTATTTCCTTTAATAGGAGTGCATACGAGCGTATATCTCAGAAACGGGCAACAACGAGGGTCTTGTGCTATATATCCAAGACCCTTTCCATAGGTTGTTACTGCACGGTGTTTGTGAGGTATAATTTTGCGATTTCTTTTATCTTTTTTCCCTTTAGATTCCTGAAAACACGTTTGTTATCTTCAACAAACAGTTTTACAACCTCGTCTCCGTGACCGATACAGAAACAAAAGGAAGAAAGGTAACAAAGATCAAAAAGAAGAAGTGTGCAGCAGGCAATATGGAGGTCCCGAACATGAGTCTTTGCCAGTTTCTGAAAATGGCAAAAGAGGGATTCTGGTAGGTGGTTTATATATATATATATATATATATATATATATATATATATATATATATATTATCATTTGAGAATAAGAGTTAAAGATGAGAAGGAAGGGATCTGGACTCTTGATCACTTTTAATCATCCTAATATATATATAT